CTAAAAAGTTTGTCATCGTGGTCGAAATCATCATCGTCATCGTCATAATCGTCATCATCGTCGTCTATTTCGTCTATTTCGTCGTCTATTTTACGTTTATTGTAAAAATACTTTTAGGTGAACACGCAACGCAGTTCGAATAAAGTTTAACAGAATAAATGAATAGCTCGTCACAGTTGTCGTCTATACACTTTATCATTATCCCTTTATATCATTATTATGATGATATGTTGATATGATGATGTTAGTGTTGCTTATGGCTGCGTATTGTATGTGTTGGAATTTGTTGGAATTCCTCTTACGGCACTTGCATTCGTAATAGTACTTTACGCTTGCCTTTCTGCGAAGGACTCACTCGAATAAGTCAAGGTTTTTACACAGTTACTGCTATGAACTGCATCAGTATTCGTCGTTTCCAACCAGCGCAAAACTCACCATAGGGGTTAAATCTTAAATCTAGCTGAATATTATGTGAGAGCAAAAGCTTTCAAAAGCAGAAGACCATAAGCTTTCCGAAGTTGCTTTCACTCTTATAAGAAACACCTGTAGTGCATAAAAGCTCCATTTATTTCTTGTATTCCTGCCGTTTCGTTCGGCTTTTTTAATGACTCTAAATTAATTTTTAATGTTGCCATATGTTACTTAACTAGAATGTCCTTTTTGATAGTCCGATTAATACAAATAGGATTAATGTGTTGTTTCGATTCATAAATTCGTTTATTATTTCCACACGCAAGTCAAATGCATGCAATGTGATGATTTTCTCTTTGAAGTGAAGAAAGTTTTGAAGTTTATTTGAAGAATTATATGGCCTTTAAGAGATAATTGCTGTTTGTTTGTTGTTTTCTAACTAATAAATATAATACTTTTTATTTCATGCATCAAATTTTTTTAAATTAAATTGAAAATATGTTAACATACTTCATAGTATCGGTGCTGACCGGTCACTGTTTAATAGGGAGGCATGCTATGAGACTAGGTCTTCCTTATAATGACCTTCGTCGCGGTTGTGGCTGTGAAGATGAAGATGAAGAGGAAACTGTGTTTCACCTCATGTGTCTCATGTGCCCATCTTTAGCTAGGAGAAGATCAAAAATCTTGAGAACCTCTTTTCTGACCGATTTGACTATGCTATCATCCTACAATGTTAGGGATGTGGCCAAATTCATAGAAGTATCAGGTGGAGTCGTTGCCTTTTTGAATTTGAATATAGCAGCCCCAACATCACTTTTTTTAAACTAACTTAATATCGCACGAATAACATTTATGATGCCGCTTTCTTCTTTTACGCTAGCATACAAGATAACGAGTATACGAGCATAAAAGTACAGATAAAATCATTGCAAGCGTACTCTGTGTACTGCACTGTTCTCCTTCTGGTCGATGAAGTGTCCCCAGTACACATCGTAAAGTACTATAAAACTACCCTCGTTTTCTAGCTGTGTTTATGTATGCTCTATACTAGATGCTTAGTGATCACGATATTTCTTCTTTTACGATTACTGTCAGTATAAAAACGTGGCGTTGCATCTGAAGGATTATTTTGTTCTTTAACTTGAACCAGGTTGATTGAGCATTTTTAAATACTAATCCATCATGCTTTGAATGAATTCAGTTCAGAATAACATGCAACGCCATGTTTTTACATATGTTGGGAAGGATTTAGTTCAACACCGAATTGTGATTGGTATATAGATGGTGTTGTCGCACCGACAGTAGAGTACGAACTGAAAGAACTAAACGATGAAGGAAGCAACGAGATTATCGGTTCAACTATGAATATCATTAAAAAGAACATTCCAATATGTACATAAACAAGTAAGATTTTGTATTTGCACATAAAAAGGTTTTTCGAAAAGTAGTGAACTACAACAACAAAAATTCATTTTAATTCATTTTACAACAACTATTTTAATTAATTGAATTTTTGGCTGACCATACATACAGCTGTTTCGAGTATTACCAAATACCCATTTTCACTGTTCTTGGAAATAATTTAATTATTCGTAAATAATTTTTTTTGAGACTGCAAGTATCAGGAATCGAACTAGTGCCCTGCCAAATTTAAAGCTCAGAGTCAGTGCTTCTTAACCAACTGACCAAAAGCCGTGTTTGACTGAAAATACATGGAAACTATCCGATCAATAATGGACTTAAGTCTTTTTGAGAACTTGTCTTAAACATATTTTTATAAATCTGTACGACGTTTCAGAATTTTTCTTTTGGTTATTTTTAGTTGATCACAAAAAATGTGAAATGTATATCATATAATCAAATGATATACTTGAAAGATATATTGTAACAGGACACAAAAATATTGAGTACAAGTATGATACGAGTCGCAAGCTTGATCAATGAAAAAAGACGAAAGAAATGTTTGAGAAGATGATGTGATGATATCAAGATGATACGAATTAGATATCTTTAGACTTTTACATAAAGATACAGGGTTACAGGGTAATTCACAAATTTATGATTGAAGAGGTTTTTTCGAACAATTGGGAACTACAACAACAGAAATTCATTTTATATTATTTTAATTAATTGAATTTTTGACTGGCCACACAGCTGTTTCGAGTATTGCCAAATGCCCATTATCAATGGTCTTGGAAATAATTCTTGTATTTAATTATCCGTAAATAATTTTTTTTGAGACTGCAAGTACCAGGAATCAAACTCGGGTCCTGCCAAATGTGAAGCTCAGAATCAGCGTACCTTAACCAACTGATCCAAAGCCGTACTTGACTTTTTATGTTCGCATATATTTTTGGATTTTTGTTACTTTTGCTATGAAAGTTTTTATTAACAATTTAATTCTCTGTGTTTATATTAGAATGAAATTATAAACCAGCTGTAGAATAATTGAATTAATTAATCATATTTTTTTTTAATTGTTAAATTTCAATATTAATCTGTTCGTAGAGGCATTATTTGTTGCATGATTTGTACTTTTTTATGTATAGAACCTAATCTAGGAACGTAATGCTGAGAAAGTCATGCTAATGTTACTCCACTATATTTATGATTAGAACAGATTGTTCCATTGTTTTTGTTAAACAATATCTAATATCAATAAGATATATTAATATATCTCATCATATGCATTTGAAAAAACTCACTTAAAATTCACTTAACTGAGACCTTATACGGAGGTGGCATTATTCACCATAGTTCCTGTTCACATTGACCACCATTTTTGGCAATTCGTCCAGAGCTATTTATCATGTATAAATACAAGTGAAGGAAAGATGAACATTTTCCGTGGCAGCGTTTGAAATTTGCAACAGGTGTCGTAATTGCCATTTAATTGTGGTTCATTGACTACACCTTTAACGCCAACAAATTGCTACCACACAATTTACACAGGCTGCACAGGCTACACAGACTACACAATTTAAAACAAAACCAATAAGACCAGAAGGTTTCTAATACAAAATGTTGTCCGTTTATGTCCTGATGGCGTTCCCGTTCCCGTTGCCGTTGCCGTTGCCGTTGCCGTTGCCATGCCGTCTCAAACATGAGAAGTACGCTAGCAGGCAACATTGTATATTTTTATAGTTGCTAAATATTGCGTTCGGTTACAATGCGTTACAAATTATGTCCTTTCGTATATGTGTTTATGTACTTGTATATATACTGGGTACATACACAATATACACACGTTTATATGTGAATTGAATGGCTATGTGACGTTGGGTGAGGTAGCAGGGAGCAGTGAGTAGTGAGTAGTGAGCAGTAAAGATACGTGCGTACGTGGCTATAAATAAAACCGCAAGGATAACAATATCGTCATATTGATTGGAAACTTTATCTGTGCTATGCTTCATACACAACGACAGAAGCACAGAACCACAGACATATGCATGCGATATATGCACACTTTCGGATACATATCAACACCGAACTTTTATCGGCGTGCGTTTATTAAGGGCAGCTCCTACTCATCCGCTGGCTCTGTTGTCAGAGAATTGAAATAACTTAATGTCACACACAAAATTGAACTCATCTTTGTGTATCTTCAGTTAAGGGAAATGGCGTATATTCACGTGGCAATCCTGCCAATAACGAAAATTGACCGCAAATTAAACCGCATATAAATTCAATGGACTAAAGAAGCAAATCAATTTATACGTAAAATTTATGCAAACTTAAATGCAATGAAATAACACAATTCGAATTAATGGAAGAAAAACTGATTTCTAAGCTGATTTGTTTCGAATTGTGTGATTATGTGATTGTGTGGTTGTGTGATTTACCTCACTTAATTCGCAGGACATCCTATTAAAATCCTTCTGCAGAATTTCACTCCCTCGCTTCTTATACGCTGCACAGTTCATTTAACAAGTAAATTATTCGCATTTGCAGGGAATAAAATATGTGCAAATAAACTAATAAGTCCCGATAGACCGCAAAGCAATCATTCGCAAGTTAAAGGAGTTGGAAATGGAATCTGCAGACAAAGTCAGGCACAGTCAGGCACAGTCAGGCGAAGTTGGCGCATGAAAAGAAATCTTTAATTTCAATAGGAAATTATTGAAGCTGAATGCTGACATTCGATGTCAGTAGCTTTGACTGTTGCTCAGACTCTATTAGTTGTCCAAGTTAGTTGCCATTGCTACTTAACCAATTGGCAATTTGCAATTGGCAATTGGGAATTGGCAATTGGCAATCAACAGTTAAGATTCAACAGCAATCTGACTGCTGACTGCTGACTGAGTGATTGCAGACGTAATTGTACGCGAAAATGCAAGGCAAATTTATGCGAAATCGCATTGTAGAGAAATTCAATTTATTTAACAGTGTAAACTTCACTCGATTATAGGCAGTTTGCAGTTGGAATTGGAATTGGAATTGTGCTTTCCATCCCGCAGCGGAAGTCAGGCAATCTAATTTCAATGCTATTTGCCGACTTTGGATAGTTCAGCAAAGGAAGTTGTAAAATTGCTGCAAATATATTTCAACAATATTGTGCAAAAATAATTTATTTAAGAAATGTTTTTCTCCAAGTAATTAAAGATTAAACAAATTTTGTGATTTTTTTAGCTTCAAAAGAAAGAATTCATATTCGTGCATATATGCATGCATGTTTGGCTCTTATGCCAAACCCTCCTGCTTAAGAATGGTGCTCATGTCGAACTGCAGTAGCACGATTAGATACGATGTAGCCGCGCTGACAGTCTAGAATGAAAGAAGAAGAAATTATAAACAATTAATTTAAGTTAGTTAGTTAATTTTAGTAACTTATTTTTAATAATTTATTCAGATTTTCATATGATAATTGTTTTAGATTTGATTGATATTTAAAAAAAAAACTCTAAAATAATTAAAATGGATTGCATATAGAGTTCTAAATGGAAATACTCCAACTGTTGACAATCGTAAGAGTGTATCTGATATAGATCCCACTCTTACCAGCTTTGCCAATTGTAGACTTATAGGGCAATTCTGGCAAAGATCGCTAAAAGTCTTGTCTAACATCTTTGTAAGATCGACCGAAAGACCATTTGTAAGATCCTAGCTATTCTGACACAAAACTCTTTCAAAAAAAGTTTTATCATTATAGGTATACATCTATATTATATATAAACATATTAGATATATATTTTAAAATTTTTTTAAAGATAGTATAGTATAGTATATACGTTCAAAACCGGAAAATCTACAGGTAACGATAATATACCAGCTGAATGTTTGAAGACTGACATTACACAATCCACCGAACTGTTATTTTCGCTTTTTAAGAACATTTGGCATTCAGAAGAGATACCATCCAACTGGAATGAGGCATTGATAGTCAATCTACCTAAAAAGGCTAACCTTGCCGATTGTAACAACTGGAAAGAGATTTCATTACTCTCCATAATAAGCAAAATTTTTAACCCAAAAATTTTAAAACGCATTATTCAACCAATGAATGAACAACTTCGCAAAAATCAAGAATGCTTTCGACCGAACCGGTCCTGTATCGATAATATAAATATTATGCGTGGCATCATTGTCCAGTGCATCGAGTTCAATATAGCCCTGTATGCATCTTTGTCGATTATTTGGCATTTGGCATATAATTCAATCAAGAGAGAGACGATCTGGCCAGCGCTACAAAGACTTGGTATGCCGCTAAAAATAATCAATATAATAAAGAAAAGCTATGAAGGTACGAAACGCAGGGTTCTGCATAATGTCAAAATAAGTAAACCATTCATTTCAATAACCGGAGTCAAATAAATCTGCATTTTATCACCACTACTGTTTATTGTTGTGCTTGATTTGGTGCTGGAAGTGTTTGATTCGCAAAACCGCGACACCAATTGAATGTTAAATACTAGATTGGAAGATCTAGTGTGTACGGACGACATTGTACTACTTTCGCACTCACATCAGCAAATGCAGTCAAAAATTAATAAATTACAAGAAGAATCATCGCAATGCGTATAAAAACTGAAAACTCTACTTTCTTTACAATCAATATGAATCACATCATAGACACCGAGAGCTTTACTTACATAGGGAGTATTCTATCGGAGTGTGGAGGTACGAAAAAGGACATCAATAGTGGCATTCAAACAGCACGAATATCATTTGCTAGGTTGCGCAACATATGACGGACCAACAATATACGTACCAACACCAACACCAAGGTAAACATCTTTAACACATGCATCAAATCGATATGCCTATATGGATCGGAAACCTGGCTTGCTAACTCCGAAATCAAAAGAAGATTGCAATCGATGCAGTATGAAGTTTAGTAGAAATCGGTCTACAGTCACAAATTTGGCATATGCTTTATTTCGAAGGCAAAAAAAAATTGTTATTTGCTCATATTTCGAAAACAGATCGTCAAATATTTTATTGCCATTTTCGGACTTACCCGCCCAAAATATTTTAGAAATTATTTAGTTTAGATCTTAGCAAAAAACAAACCCAAATATATCGGATTGTGTTATATCATTATATGTAATATATTCACAATGTGTTGTATCAAATTTACATCAAGAGGTTTTTCTAATTAAAAGGCCGAGATAGAAAGTATCATCACTTAAAAATATTTTTAGTAAAGGGATATACTGGTGCTTCCCTGGATGTGTCTCTAGCGGTACCGGTTCACATTACCCTAGAGACTATAAAGAGAAGTACCTTTCTCTACTTTCTGCAACTTGCCAATAACTGTTGGAAAGCACTTAAGTCATGTGCAACTTCCAGGTTAACACCTGTAATCAAAATAGATCTTCGGAACTCATCACAAGAGACCGCGTGAATACTGCAAGGCTTACTGCAGTTCTTTCTGGTCATTGATGTATAGGAACCCACGCAGAGAAACTGCGCATTCTTCACAATCCTTACTGCAGGAGTTGTGGAAACCCGGGGGAAAAAGAAACCATAATACATAATGTCAATGCCCGGCTTAGGCATCTAAAAGATACTTCTTTGATAGTTTACCAGAGTGTTCATTAGTGAAGACGAAAGACCTATTAAATCATCTAAATTCGGCGGGATGGATTTAGTCTTTACTCTTCTATTGTGGCAGACAAAAACGACAAAAAAATCATTAATTGAGGTACATGAAAGTTATCTAATGGCTTGCAACTGCAACCAACCAACCAACCAAGGAGATATACCCTTACAAGTGAAATTAACAGCGAAGTAAAAGCAGAAGATACTATATTACTTGAAAAGAAATCTGTGAAAAAAAAAATTAGAAACAAAGTATTATCGGGGACAGAGTAAAAGATAATGATACTAGATTTAATGATACCTGTATATTTTTGAAATGGCGAAATCATATTTTTTTTTAAAGGTGCCACCCTTATGTTACTCGTATTTCAGATTAAATTCTTCTTCACCAACCTGTTATCTCTTTTCGATAGTGCATCTCAGGAATTCTAGTTCAAAAATGTGCGAAAGATATGTGTTTAATTTTCTTAATTACAATCAAACAATTTACTAGAATTGTTTTTCTGGAAAATTAATTAAATCAACAAGTAAATACTTTATTCAATTAAATTAGAATCATTTATGTCATTCAGTTGACGTATCTAAAAGGACAAGTATACACCAGCCATCAAGCGGACATGGGACACGTTGCACTTTCATGTCCTTACACTACACTTTAATGAAAAAATTATTTTTAGAGAGATATAAATAAAAGACATTTAGATATTGCTTGTTTGATAAATTATGAAAAAATATTTTCTAGACTTCAATTTTGTTTCTGTCTTAAACTTTAATTTAATTATATTTTTTTATGCTATGCAACCATTAATGGATTCTGTTAATCAATATGTATGGATATCAGAGGGAGAGGTAGAATAGCAATACTTTTAGTTTGAATTAGGTAACTCAATTCAAATTTTACCTAGCTATATAGTATAAGGTATTTTTAAAGAACAGCCCCCGGAAAGAAAACGGGATGTATCGTATATTATGGTAAGATAAGGCCACGAGCTAGAACGGCTAGCTGAAGGTGATATAATCAACAAATTTATGAAAAAGAAGCGATTTAGATGGGTTGGACATGTGAAAAGAATGCCGGATATAAGAGTATTGCTTAAGATTTATTAGAACGAAGTAGGAACTACCAGAAGAAGAGGGCTACCAAGAAAACGATGGAAAGGCAGTGTGCAGCTGAACTTAGAAGAAATGAACATAAAAAATTGGAAAACAAAAACAAAAAGCAGAAAAGATTGGAAGACTGTTGCTAAACAGGTTCAGGTCCTAAACGTACTGTATAGTAACGGATGATGATGATGATATTAAGGACAGAACACTTCTTAACTATACTGATATCTTATTTATTTTAATATCATTCATTACTGATCATTTAGATCTACTTCCAATACTATGAGTCCCGTACTCGAACACACATTTCAATTTAATATTATGAAATTCTATATAATTATATTTGAAGATATACAATATCATTGAAATGTTTTTAAATATCCCAGAAATCAGATAAATAAAAATGAAACAAAAATATTAATATTAAACAGTTATTATTTAAATAAATTATGTTCATTGCCAGCTGTGTTTAAGGTAAGACTAAATTTATACTACACATAGGAAACTAAATAAATGATAATGATAAATGATAAATTTTTGAGCGTCTAACACCTACAAAATTTTACTCGGTTAATATACTTTATACTTTATATATATTGAATCCTTTAACTCCTAGAAGGAGCATAAGGCCGTAACTATTTTAAGAGCACAAATAATATTTACTTTGTGATTAGGGTAAGACTAAATTTATACTACACAAAGGAAACTCATAATTAGTGATCAATTTTTGAGCGTCTAACACCTACAAAATTTTACTCGGTTTATATACTTTGACTTTATATATATTGAATCCTTTAACTCCTAGAAGGAGCATAAGGCCGTAACTATTTTAAGAGCACAAATAATATTTACTTTATGAGACACTTCTACTGTTAAATAAAAGTCAGAAATATGGATCAAGATATGATAGTTATCGGTAGTTTTAACCGTGTGAAACGAAATCTTTACAGAGCAGATATAAGCATATGGTATATCATATGATATTTTAAGTATTTTAATATAAAATTTTCAAATCGAAATTCCAATTCACATTAATCAATAACAAAAATAAAATAATAACAAGAACAATTACTAAAGACAATGAATGAATTAATGAAAATTTTAAATTTGTTTATAGAAATAATTTAGTTTCTTTTGAAAATATCATATGAAAACTATTTTGTTAAATTAATTTCCCCACAACTCACCGAAAATATGAATGTGTAGTCAAGTGCAAAAAGTCCAATCCCATTAAAATGGAAAAATCCTTCCCAATGCAAAAACTGCAACGTGAAGGACTTCATTTTGTTGTAGTATAAATCATTGCCAAGCATAAAGGCCGGTTTCTTTTGCATAATTTCGTGTACAATCATAGCAGATTGCTTAGAGTGTCCATTGGCATTACAACACAAACGTAGCACTAAATAGCCAACCACCATGGTGGTTAAACTCCAAATGACATACATATGCGAAACGTGGTCCAACAAGGTACTCTTGCCGCCCACGATTACAATCACTTTAGTTTCAAGAAATATTCCAAAAATAGTGATCACAAAGCAGACCGCCATGTAGGGTACACACTGAGCCCCGTACTCTGCATTGGTGATGACACTTAAAGAAAGTATTTTATCGTGCAATTTGAAAAGATCAGGTAAATTAGTCTCCGATGTAATGCTGTAATTTTCGAGCGTTTAATAAAAAATATTTGCACAATCTTGTAGCAAGCCATCTACTCACCCGTCGGAAGCGCGTTTAGTAACACTTAAATCGGCATCATCTTCATCACTAGAATCAGTATCGAGTTCGTTTTTCTCTTTCATCAAATCGCTTACGATCAATGGACCCTTAGGCTTATTACTATTTATTTTACCGTTGCTTTCTATATCATAAACTGCTATAGGTGCTTTCTTCTTATCGCATTCCTGATTAATTTTCTCGAAAAGCCCATTTATTTCAGTGAAGCGATCGGATATAACGGACACATAGTGTATGAATTGGCCCTGCACAATGCTGCCAGCCAAATATGGAAACGTAGTAACCATAGCCGTGATGAGAAAATATTCCTCGTAGTACCTGTATATAAACGCAAGAACATAAATGCCATGAAATTTGAATCGACAGCAAAACGGTTGGCAACATTCAAATCTTTACTTTACTCTACTTACGCAATCATTTTTTTCACATCATAGAACATGGCAAAGCCAAAGATACCAACGACCAACAACCAGGTGAAGTAGTAAATATTTTTACTGGGAGGCAATTTCATTTTGTCATCAGCCACTTTCGTACATTTGCTGATGATGTTGTCAATTTCCTGTAAACGCTGCTCGAAGCTGACGAAGAAACTCTTCCGACGTAGAAGTGTCAGAAAAAATATGCTCAGATAAAGAAAACAGCCGAGATGTGTGAATAATTTGTTGCCTAAGCGACAAATGCTATCGCAGGTCGAAAGCTGGTAAATGCCATACGTTCCCAGAGTGACCATGAAGTAACAAGCCAAATACAGAACCGGCATTATGCACATCAGGAAATAGTCAAACACGATTAGACTTGAGTCCAATTGCAAACGGTTCATCGGAATGAGTCCATTCAGCTGCAATAGCAAATAATTTAAAATTTATTTCATTTGACGAATTAATTAACTTAATTTAATTAGTTTAATTAATTAATTATTATTTGTACTTACAATTGAGAGGGCAAGTAGCAAAGGATTCATGTTTAGATTATTTGAATTAAAATTCAACTAAAATTAATTTAATGATTTTCTCTTATTTTCCTTGTTTTTCCAATCTATTTATTGCAAATTTATGTCTTCTCTTGCTAGGACGCGAAACTATACTAGCAGTCCCTAAGCAGTCCTGGTGAAATGCAGGAAGGCAAATTTATTTGCTCATTGTTACAATTAATACAAATACGCAGGAATTAAGTGAATGTGTTTAGATAATATCAACTAACTGACACCGTTTTCGGCTGAATGCAATTAAGTTTATTAAAAAACTACACTGGGAAAAAATTAATTTAATTATCGTAAACATACTTACAAATATACAACTCACATACTCTCATGCTTAAGGGTTAAGTACGTAAGACACTCCTGCCAAACAGTTTCTCCACCACCAGCATATACGATAGTACGGAAGTATTATCATTTCGGCTGTAAAGCTTATTTGATAACTACTTGTGTTTCTTAGTCATAAAAACATTATTTTTATTAGCCAAAATTCGTATTCTTATTTAAATCAAATTCTTATTAAAATCGGTTGCAGCGACATTCCAAATAACCATAAGACTACTTACTAAAGCATCCTTCTTTAGCAGAACAGAATCGAGGTTGCTGGTGGGATATTTAACGGGACTACACCATCACTTTTACAAAATGGGTCTGTTCGAAGAGATAGATTGTCCACTTTGCTTAGAAGCAAACGAGATCTCCAGACCAGCCTTGATCTGGGCCAGAAGAAGGTCACTGGGCCGAAAACTACTCTCCCCTTCTGACATTAGGAGGTCCTCAACGGCCGATATGATGGCTTTTACTCGTAAAACGGAATGTCTTCTGTTCGGTTAGGATCTGTTGCAACACAAAAGATCAACAATGGCTGCAGTGCTCCGTTCCGTTGAGAGCTGTTACCCTGTTTATTCCTATTCCTAATATGAAGTTTATCATAAACTAAGAAGATCTTATCCGAAACTTGTTAGTGTCTAGTACAATGTTAGTATAATGATAGTATAATGTCCTTATCTTATGAGTGGAATACACAGTACCCATATTCGTTTTAATATGTTATTATAAGGAAAAGGGAAAAGAAGAACGTCCCGCTATCCCTTCTTAAGTCATTTAGTTGCAATAACGAAACTCAGCCATTATATTATGGCAACTGTAACTGGTTTTCTCAGTTCATAAAGTAAAGAATTCTTACTATTTGTATAGGGCGAGCTGAATAGTAATTAAGTAAATGATTTCGCTGCAATCATGATATCGTCTACATGTCTCTTTCAGTAACTGCATATCTTCTGATCAAACACGAACGCAATGACCTACAAAGATAAACCAAAGCAAATGACAGTGCAAAATCTTAAATCTAGAATATTACGTATCCTTTTTAAATAATTTTTAGGAATAATTATTGTAACATAATACATGTGAATTTCATCTGATGATCACTGTGCACAGTATTTTATGTTTTGTTAGGTATTCGTAATAGCAAGATAGTTAAACTACATAATATACTTCATGATAAACTACATATGGTATATATAGTATGTAACTATAGTAATATAGTATAGTAATATATCTTCGGATGACTTTTGCTTACCGACCTGACTAAGCTGTCATCCTGTAATGTTAGGGACCTGACCAAGTTTATAGAACTGCCAGGTTGGTTTTCCTTTACATAATGAGAGAATCGTTTCCTTTTTGGGAATTAGCTGTATGTATGCTAAATGCTATGTATGTATCAATGCTACTCCTATGATCCATTATTAGAGCTCAAGTAGACTTTTTGGACTCAAACCCAAAAAGCCTACTTTCAAACTTTCACTTTTTCTAATTGAAGAGATTTAGGAAAGATTCATTAAAATTTAACATTTAAAGTAGTACAAGGGCAATGATAATTATTACTCGTATATTATATGAACCGCACATCTTTCGGAGAGTATTGAGGTACTACTGCTTTTCATTTACATCGCAAAAATAAAAAATGTCAAACTTCAAAAGTTTTGTTTCAGTGTATCTATAGTTATATTTTATGCGTATGAATAACAAATTATTTATTATTGCTGTACCGTCAGTAAAATGTCTTCATATAATTATTTAATATAATATTATTAAAAATTAGCTGATGAATATGTTCATCCCAAATTATAATAAAAATTGGAGTAGCACTTGATTAAGCATACAAATTATTCATGAATTCGGAACGCGCCAATACGCAAACCTACTTCTCCCCCATTTGTGTAAACCACCCTTTTGTCCATATATAATGTATAATACGGATTCTATTGTTTGGCACTTATTAAACCTCACAATGAATCCAAAGCAGCGGCGGTCAGTGCTTTTGACAACTTTAACAGCTTTCTGGTGTTTTAAAATGTTGAGCACTGGACATGGCAGTGGGTGTGTTGATGGATGGTTTAGGGGAAGAACTAATGAATTTGCTGCATAATTGATTGCATATGCGACGATATGACAGTGATGGTAGGTGTAAAATGAACTGCACGTTGCTGCATTCAATTACAGTTAATAAGAAACTTTTTAATAGTTTCTTAAACTAAAATGCTGCCACCATATCTGCCATAATATTGTATCTCTGGTTAACAATTAGTGACATCAATGTATGCAAGTTTTATTTTCTTCGGAGTTCCTAGGTCGTCTACTTCGGAGACATGTACAATATTTTATACATTCCATTGCTATTTTCAAGTCACCACATAAAAGTTTAGCTGGTAGTACGGGTGGTCAAATTAGAATTAAATATTTGTTTTATTATATAAAATATAACGGGAAGGGCTAAAGATAATTTATTTTAAATATTGGTTTAATATTTTTATTCAATTATGATTTTATGTTAAACACACAAACTTATTCATACATATTTGTTTATTTCACCAACAACACGAATAACGTTTACTTTAATTGTCATGTCATCTTCAACAAAGCCTCTTCTAGAACATAAACCGCTCCATACTGATCATTTTCGTGGATGTGCACGTGTTTCATAAACAATACTTTGATTTTTTTCTCTCCAAAGATGATTATTTTAGTTATTTTCGAAGTCATTTAATCAGAACTGAGCTGCATCACTCATAGACGATTTTTCCATGATTTCTCCATAGATTCGTTTCAAGATATTTTAAAGTTTAATCTGCAAAATTTTTATGCTTTGAATGTAAATCTTTATGAAGTATATTGCACACTGTCAAATGTTTTTCTTTTCTGTTATAAGCACTATCGTCTAACCCAAAACTTTTATTACCAATACAAATAATAAGCTCCATACTTCCATTAAATTCATCTTAAATTTCATGTAATGCGCAGAACGCAGCCCAAACGGATTCATTATTAGTCTTATAATAGGGATGTAATTTAGATCGCTTCCATATAGTGCACTCTGGACAATACCAAATGATCTATAACCCCCTTACGAGATGCTGTCCTCTTCAGGGACTCCAGTATCCTCTGGTAACGACCGCTTCGTCCTTGGTCACGTCTTATACCATCTTTTTTGTTTGATTGCCATGAGCTGGTGACTACAGGTTTCTGAACCTAGCTGTCTTCTGGCACGGTAGCACTGGGGTGACACTTGCGTATAAACGGCTCCAGGCCAAGTCTGTAGCTGCCTCATTCCCGTTAAAACTCTCAAAGTACAGGCTTCAAAGAACATTCTGCCTAGCTCTTGTTTACCACTGGTCTGGCTCTGAAAACTTGTTCCCAAAAGGACCTGTACCAATCTTCGCCACTGGTCTGGCTCTGAGAACTTGTTCCCAAAAGGACCTGTACCAATCTTCGCATGGCCTCGCTGCATTGAGTTGTCATCCTACAATATTAGGGACCTAACCAGATTCATAGAACTGTCAGGATGGTATACCTTAGCCTAATGGGGAAACCATCACCTTTCTCTGCGTTGTTCATATACTGATCACCTAGTCAATATAAGTACCAACCAATGCTATTCCTCTGATACCACAATGGGCCATTACTTGAGATTAGGTGGTCTTTTTTGGAAACAAGGCCGCCACTTCAATCTACCTACCTTATAATAAAAGTTGATATTTTTTTCTATGTGGAACTGTGTAGCTTTCCGTAGTGATTTGCCAAGCAATACCTCATTCAAGTGTCAATGTTTGGACGGCACGTGAAAAGTAACAGTTAGACCGTATTTGTTTCAAAAATGAAACTAGTATTGCAGTTACCACTGATGTTTCGTGGCAGGATATAATCGTACTGGAGTTTTTTTTTGAGATTGTTGGCTTATTTGATCTACATTTATAAAAATACTACTCATATACTTTTAATATCAGGTTGGAGTAGGAACATATAAGAATTATGCTGGACAATTAAGTCGGAGCAGCTTTAGTATATGCATGTCTTATTCGTACTAATCATTCATATATACATATATATATATGCATGATGTTTCGCTTACAGCTTTAAGCTACTCGTAAGTATCGACAGTATCTAAAATATCAAATAATTTAAGTTTACTAAATCAATAGAAGAAAACAGCATAAACGTATGGAGGCTACGCATACTAAAGCACTGCGTACAGTCAGTCACTGCATCTTTCCATTAGGTTTTTGCTGTTTTCAGTGATACTCGTATCTCTTTTTGAATTATGCTGAACACTTTGAAGCGCCTAGAAGCCCTAAAAAAGTTACAAGATATGTAATGTATGGAAAACGAAACCAAAAGTCAGCCCAGAAAACGATGGAGCGATGATAGTGTTTTGGCTTTATGGCTTTTTTTACAAGTACTTCAGTGCCACAAGGATAAGGCAAGTAAATCCAAATATCACAAAAACAAATTATCTTATTTTATATGTGCCTTTTTTAGTGTTGGGAAGTCCACTGCCGTCTTGGCAATTTTGCAACAAGCCTGATCAGAAATTCAGAATGTGTGAAGAATACAAT